GCTACTTGGCCAATCCCCTGCGTTGAGGCCTTTCAAGGCCGATGCAACTTTAAGCCCCTCCTGACAGGTCGGGGTGGCTTCTTTCTTCCTAGTGCTTAGGTGGAATCTCTTTTCCTGTAGTTTGAATCCATTGCTCTATGTGTAAGGAGTGAAGCAGAAAGCCCTGTAGGAGCGGCCTCTGGTCTCTCTGGTTGCAATCTCACCAGAACTAAGCTGACCACATCTGCTGCTTCCATACTTGGCCACCACCACAGTCCCAAGTTGATGCCACCAGGAGCAGATTATTTAAGCTTCTTTTGGAGATCCTTTTAACCCCTTAGTGTGGCCTCAGTGTGGCTTCTAGCCACTTTGGGTGTGTGCGCCATCTAAATGCCACACCCCCAAAGCAGCCAGAAGCTGCTTTATTTGGAATGTGCATTTTGGGCCCTAGTCTCTGGAGCAGCAGAAAGCAAGCTTGTTTCATCCTCAATATGACGTCCCTTCAGAATATGGTTATCATGTCACCTCTTAACTTTCTCTTGTCCAGGCTAAACATACCCAGTTCCCTAAGCTGCTCCTTATAAGGCATAGTTTGCAGACCTTTTAACATTTTTGTCAGTTCCAGTAGTCAGAAATGGTAATTAATGCATTTGCTTGCGTTAAAAATAAAACCAGCCAACTTCCTATGCAGGCATGGTTTCCTGGTCCTCATTGGTACCATAATTCTTTTCATCTGACATATAGTTTAGCCAGCAACCATATTTGGACACTATGTGCATCTGATGTCTGACAAAATCTGTTCTTTGAGACAACTTTCACAGATATAGCCATGTTAGACACTTTCACAATAGAAAGGAGGAATCTGGTGCCACCTTAAAAACTAATCAAGTAATTTCAGCATACGTTCTCATGGGCTAGAGCCCACTTCATCAGATGTGTGGAGTGCAACCTCATTATTTGTAGAAATGCCAGGCAGTGGGATGTTGAATGAAACAGAAATGCAAAACATGCTAGCATTGTGATGAGACAATATGTAAAGTGATAAATGAGTCATGAAGGAGAAAGGAGGCTTACACATTTTGGCAATGCACAGACTGAGTGGAAAAACCAGGTTGCCTCCAGACTTTCCTGAATCAGGGGGACCTTCTATTGTCCACACAACCCAATCCCAGAACAGGCTAAATACCCAATTGGATGCTGCATGACTGACCACTTGATTGCATAATTCCATGACCATCTGCCAGTCAGTATGGCACATCACTGTGCCCACCAACAGAATGCCACAGCCTAATCCTGGTGTGGGCAGTAGTTGTCAGAATCAGTAAATTCAGCTCCCATGTGCATCAAAAAAGGTCAGATGGTTGAAAAAGAACAAAACTTTATTGAAGTTGCAAAGACATAAATTCACCATTCAGCATTTAAACTAGAAGTGCCCCTCGAAGCTTGAACAATAAATTTAAACCCCAAAGCCACAATTCCTCCCCCTACTTTCTGGTGAGAACTATAGCTCTCCATCCACTATTCCCACAGACTAAGCACTCTTACCATCTAACCCCTCTTTCCCCATACTAACTCAAGCACAGCCTACTATCTCCCATCTCCTCCGGTTCCACATTCCAAGCTTCTTACACTGTCTGCATCCCAAGGCCAGACTAACAAAAACAATCTAGTAGCTTCACACTACTCTCTTCCCCCACATTAAACAATTAAATGACTATCCCACTTAACAATTCCCACAATAATGGAAATAAACTGACAGAACTACTGCAACATAGTGGCAGGCACACTGCAATCTGCTGGCACAGCTTCTATGGTGCAGAACATGTTACAATGCCCATGACACATGCCATGACAGCCACTGACATCAGCAGGCATAGACACCATGCAGTGAGTGAGCCCATGCAATGCCGTGACTCAGCCATCATCCAGGCCACTGTAGTTACAAGCTGCCATTATGCTGCCACTGCCCAGATGCCTGCACCACTGTTAAATGTACCCAACCTTCAAGAACTGGTGGGAGTGGTTCATCACACACATCTAGGTGACCTAAACAATGGCAGTGCCATTTCCAAACACCCCGCACCCTCTTTCACAAGATAGTGGTGGAGCTCCCTGCAGAGGTGGAGAAGGTGAACACCACTATGGGGAAACCCATCCCAGTGAAAAAGGGGGTAACTGAAAGAAACATAGAACTGATGAGGGATGGAATGATAGAGAAAATAGAAAAATTAAAAATTAAATAGTGAGTGAGCAGACTGCCAGAAACAGTTCAAATTGAAGCCACTTTAACTGGCCTGGCTCAGTGCTAGGGAATCATAGGAATTATATATATATTTTCTGGGACATTAAGCCTTCTCTGTCAGAGAGCTCTGGTGCCACAATAAACTACAGTTCCCATGATTCCTTAGCACTGGGCCAGGACAGTTAAAGTGGACTCAATTTGCACTATTTCTGGCAGTCTGCAAAGGCCCATAGTTAGGTCTAGAAAGTATTCAATAGAGAGATCTGAAATTACTGTCATGTAAAAATACTGACTTTCATTTTAAAAAAGCAACCTGTCACTATGATTGGGGTTGTTTTTTTAGTGAAGAGTAGGGAGGTAGGCAATGCAAGAATTGTGTTTTTAAAATATTCAAGATGAACTGGAAAATCTGTGGCCCATTAATATTTGTCCTGGGTAAATTGTTGGAAGGCACAAATAGAGCTAGAGCTACCTTGAGTCCAAATTTTGGAAGAAAAGCAGGATATAAATAAATATAATAATAATACTATAATAATAATAATAAAGAACAGCTGTTACTAAGAACAATCCTGCATCCTTCAAGAAGTAGTCCTGCCTCATCTGACTTTTAAATTTTCTATTTTTGTTAGAGTAACAAAGAGTAGCATTGGGTAAGTGATTAAATTAATGTGGCCCTCCAAACATTGTTGGGCTGCAAATCCCAGTGCTCCTGATCATCGGATATGTTGGCTAATAGGCTAATAGGACTTGCAATCCAGACATTTCATGAGAGCTGTCATTCCCACCCCTATGCTAGTAGAATGCAGACCTGGTCTAGTTTACATTGAACACAATTTGTTTAATATTTAGACTGTTTAAAATTTTTGTGGATGAAAATGTTTTTGTGGGTTCTCTAGTGTGTATATTTCTATGTGAGCACAATCCCAGACCTATTTTTTGTAGCTGTTTTTACACTGTATTTTTCAAAGTCCTTTTTGTTAATCTTGCATGATTTTATTGGCTGTATTGGTTAACCTATCCCTTCAGGAAGAGGAAGTTGTTCTAGAAGTACAGAACACGGACAAACAGTGCACGAACAGCCCATAAATAAAAAGAGCTTGGAACAAACATGAGTAATGATGTTACCTGAGATGTGTTACCTTTGGGACTTGTGAGGTTTTGCAAAATAGTTTTGTTTACTGATTATTCCTAAAACATTATTTTGGAGGACAGTCATTTAAGGGGATTTTTGATCATTTTGACAAAGCAGTGCATAAGTAATGACAAGTGAATAATAATGCCTAAAGCTTTACTTTAAAAAAATATCCAAATTCTAAGAAAAATCATGGCTGCTCAGCCATGATACCACACTCATTTTATATCATTGAAAAGCAGTAGGTTGAGCCTCCCTTGCTTGGAATGCTTGGAACCAGAAGTGTTTTGGGTTTCAGATTTTTTGGGGGTGGGGGGATTTGGAATAGCTGTCTTTGCGTATATGTACATATACATACATGATAGGATAGAACCAGTGTGGTGTAGTGGTCTGATTGTTGGATTTTGATTCTGCAGACCAGGGTTCAATTCCCTGCTCAGCCATGAAACCCACTGGATGATCATAGACAAATCACATGCTCTCAGCCTCAGGGGGAAAGCAATGGCAAGCCATCTCTGAACAAATCTTGCCAAGAAAACCCTGTGATGGGTTTGCCAGTGGTCTGAAAAACATTTTGAAGTTATGGTCACAAATCTGGAATGCAAAAAAACAACAACCATATTTTGATTGGCTTTACACACTAATATAGTCTCACATTAAAAAGGTAACACTCTATTAATATTATCATATGTAAATCTCACATTTTCTGCCTTTTTGTCTAACCAAATGTTTTTGCAATTGTGTATATTATTTTATCAATTTTAATCTTTGTATATATTTTTTTTAAAAATAAAAGTAAATTGTAATTTTTAAAATATTCAAAGATATAAGTAAAAAAAGAATTCAGAAAAGAAAAATATGCAAACTTCAACATCTTCCAGATTATTTTAGTGTCTTTTAAGATAATACTAGATATATCCTATAGATACATCTGCTTGTTTGTGTGTGTGTGTAGTTATCTTGTATGTTCACTGTGTTACATTTGTATAACACATTGGTCCATTACCTCTTACACCATGTACTTTATTATTTCAGTATGTACTTTTATTATTCATAAAATCGTAAGCACTGATCACAATCAGTCTAAGAAGACTTGCAAAGCAATTATAAAGAAGTACAAGATGTTACTGTTTGATTCAAAGGAGTTCAGCAGAACACAAATGTCTTGGGAAGGAATCACAATTGGCCTAATCAAACAGTTGAAGTTCTTTGCAGCAGCCTCACCCATGCCAAAAATTACCCAATCTATATTAATAGAGAAGGAGAACTTGCCTCTTCATAGGTAAGGGAGTGTGGGAGGTAATGAACTGTTTCTGCCTGAGCAAGGTGAGTGGGCACATGATTTCTACCATAAAAGAATTAAAGATGAAAAGAAAGAACAGATTGAAATTATTATTCCCAAACAATATGCCTCTGTCACCAAACTACACTCCTGGAAGGATATAGAAGAGAGTAAAACTTGTTGTTCTGCCAGAGCTTGGAAAAGTTATCTGTTTCAACTACAGAATCCAGAGCAAAGCCAATGGCCTATATGCCTAGCAATTCTGAGAGCTGTAGTCTAGAAAGTAACTTTTCAATTTCTGACTTTGGCTGAACATGATGATACACTGTCATCAAGGATCTATAAATGTGAAACACACATGGGGAAGCAAACATGGACCTCATTGTCCCTGAGGTATCCCTCCCATGGGTGTATGTGTATGTGTTTGTGTGTATGTGTACCTTACCATATGTTATGGGATCTCAAACTGGTGTATAGACAAAATCAATTTAAACAGTTTAAAACAATTTAAATTTTGAAACAGGAATAATAATGTAAACAGATTAAAATGTGGGCTAGACAAAGTAAATGTTACATGGATTTGTAATTGGTTGACTGGCCGAACCCAAAAGGGTGCTCAACAATGGCTCCTTTTCAACCTGGAAAGAAGTGACCAGTGCGGTGCCGCAGGGCTCTGTCCTGGGCCCAGTACTATTCAATATTTTTTATTAATGACTTGGATGACGGTATTGGGGCATAGTTATCAAATTTG